GCCTTCCTATTAATAAGGAACATAGATCCAAGGACTAATTTTACTTATCCTCATCTTTCTTTATTTCTTTTGAAAATGCAAAAACTATTTTGGTTTTGACCTTTGCTCTGACTCCCTTTTGTAGCCTCAGCATCTTTTTTCCCTTATGATTGCCACAGTAGTACTTAGAATCTAAATTGGCAAGGAAAATATATTTAGAAATATTGAGTAAAAGAACTTGAGGTTGGCAGGGATCACAGAAATCCCCTTGGTTTATGACAGTCTGCTTTATCTTCTATGGAAGGGAAGCAGAATAACATACAGTTTGTCTAGGTTGAAAGTTTTTGGTAAATCACATTTTTTATTCTCGGAGGCCTTTTTCATGTAGCACTTGCTATTGGTTTCTTTTTCTTCTTTATCAATATTAAAAAAGTTGTTGTGCGATTTTAATTTTTTTTTGTACCTTTTAAAATTTCTTTATTTTACGCCAGCTTCTTTTCTTCCTAATGCCAAATCTCTGTATTTTCCAAGTCTCCAACCTGGCTTATTGGTCTTAGCAATTAAAAGAACTATGTTGGCCAGGCTGGTCTCAAACCCCTGACTTCAGGTGATCTGCCCACCTCAGCCTCCCAAAGTGCATCTCTTCTAAAAACAGAAAAATTAGCTGGGTGTGGTGGCAGGTGTCTGTAATCCCAACTACTCGAGAGGCTGAGACAGGAGAATCTGATCCCAGGAGACGGAGGCTGCAGTGAGTTGACATCACACCATTGCACTCCAGCCCAGGCAACAAGAGTGAGATTCCGTCTCAAAAAAAAAAAAGCACTAAATAGGCCAGGCATGGTGGCTCATGCCTATAATCCCAGGGCTTCAGGAGGCCAAGGTGTGTGGATCTCTTGAGCCTAGGAGTTCAAGACCAGCCTAAGCAACATGGTGAAACACCATCTCTATACAAAACACAAAAAATTTGCCAGACGTGGTGGTGCCATTGCACTCCAACCTGGACAACAGAGAACTTGTCTCAAAAAAAGCAAAAGAAAAAAAAAGTACTAAATATCCTTTTCTTCTGATAGAGGCAGCCTGTGAAGGACAATCCTGCAAAATATTCAAAAGCACCACTAACAGAACCAACTAATGGCAGTCTGTTGCAGTTACAAGGTTTATGTTATTTTTCTTATGTATTTTTGGTTGCTCAATGTAGGTAATATAACGTATAATTCAGGAAATCCAGATTAAATGAATACAATTCATGCCAAGTAAATTTAAATGTCAATCTCTCGGGTAAGAAGATAGAAGGAGACAAATACAAATTAGGAATGTATTTTTATATGTAACACCCTAGGGAGGCAGTTTGCAGAGTGGTTAAGAACACAGACCCTAGAGCCAGAATATCTGCTTGAATTCAGCATCATCCTTCATTGACTGTGCAACTGAGTACATTTCTTATTTTTTTCCCTCAGCTTCTTCATCTGTAAAGTGGAAGATAGTTTTTCCCCTTACACAGTTGTTACAAAGACTAAATTAGTTTATTTAAAAAAAAAACATTTAGAACAGTGCCTGACAATAATAAGTACTAAATAAATGTTGGTTACTATTAGTTACTCAAAATTATAATAATGAATTGGTCAAGGCTCCAGAAATATGTCAGATTTTTGAAGAATGTTTTTGGTAATGTTTCTGATTTTTAAAAGATCACAAATGTGGTTTGGATTAGTCTAAGAAAAAATGTTTTGTTTAATAACTGATTAATGAGTTTTTAAGAACTCATTCTGTATGACCCAGTACAGAATGGGAAATTCACTAACAGAAGACGTCTGGCTGGCATAAAAAACGTTAAAGAAAATCCTAAGCATAACGTTAATCTCAACTCTGAAACACCAGCTTTACATTATTGTTTTCAGTTCTGGAGTCCTGGCATGTCATGGAAGCAGACAGACTCCACATTTTTGAAGTAGTAATTCTTGGTTATTGTTTTGACTTAGATAAATGACCTTGAGAAACTTTTTTTAGGCTTTGTGATTGTTATTTAAAGCGATAGCTGTGAAAGACTGTCAAAACATCTTTAACACTGTGCTTTTCAAAAGGAGAGGATAATTCCTTTGAAAGAAATAATGAATGGATATTAGAATCCCAGATACCAGAAGGAAAAGTGAGTTCATGGATGGCGTTAACCTGCCAAGACAGGGAAGTCTGTTTCAGGAGCTAACCAGCTTTGCTAACTTCATGCTGCGGAGCACACTCGAGTTATAGGACGGGGGAAAAGTGCACTTTGCAGCGCCTCAGGAAATTACTTTTCCAGCCAGGAAAGACTATGGCCCTTCTGCCTCTCTACAGTAATGTCCAATTCACAGCCATTTAGTGTCTGGCTTTTCATTGAAGATGTTACTGACTTGAATGGCCTAAATGTTTATTACATATTTAATACATGTACTTCTTTTAATATTTCTGAACAAAAGTTTCACTTTATAACAACTAATTTTGTTATATTTTATTGTCTAGACATGAGTTATGGCAGTTTACATTCGATGTGGAGATAAATGAAACGTACAAAAAAAGGTCAAATCTGCATTTTGAACTGAGAGCATGTTTAAGAGGATTATAGCATTAATTATGAGTTAGAACTTCAGAATTTTTGAGGCAGCATGATCTGATGTAGCAAATACTGGTTTAGGAATGTTAAAACAAACTAAATACGGCCTGAGAAGGACTCTGTCCTTCTGTATTTGAGTCCTTGTGTACTAACTGTAACCTAGCCTAATAGGCAGACAAGTTTGAAAACCTAATTTAGGAGTATGCACCTGTAACATCAGCTGAGTCTTGGCCAATCCCAGCGGCCATACTTCAACCAGTCATATGCACTGCTGATTGTTCAAACTGTGTTCAAATAAGACAAACGCCCACCTGTAACTAATCCAGCTGTTTCTGTCCTCACTGCTGATTTCTGTATCTCGCTTCCCTCTCATGGTCTAAAAATTTGTTCTAACCACGAGGCATCCCTGGAATCTCTGAATCTCCTGTGATTCTGGGGGCTGCCCAGTCCTTCGTTGCTCAATTTAACTCCTTTAAATTTAGTTCAGCTGAAGTTTTTATTTTAACAGGAATCAGACTGGTGAGCCTTGAATCCTGCCTGTTTATCTCCTGCTCATCTGAAGTTGTAAAGTTACTTAGTACCTCTAGGCCTGTCTCTTCACTTATAAAATGGGGACAATACTGACCTCGAAATCTTGAAATAATTCAACAATATATATATATATATATGGTAGAATATGCTATCTCCAACGTTCCGTTCAAATTCTCATCCCCCGCCCAGCCCCCAGCACTTCCCGTGGGGGAAAAAAATCAAAACATTTAATTCCCAGCATAACTGTTAAGGTTTGCAATAAAAGAAAATTTCACATGTGAAATAATTACCAAGGAAGTACTGTATACGCAGTGGGGGAAAGGACCAACCCTCGACCACTTTAATAATACCTTGGTTATTAATTCTACACTAACTTAATTTCAACGTGCAAAACTTTCCCTTAGTATTATAATGAAAAAACAATTTGTATAGACAGTAAAGAGAACCAGGAACCTGAAAAATTTCCCTCATTCTATAGATATAAAACATTTGTAATTCGGGTCACTAACAGTTATGTATGGGAACGCATTATTTAAGTAGTGGGAGCTTCCAGTTTCCCAGGAAGATCTATCCCTAGGGAAGCCTTTAGGATGAAACTGACCTGGGAACAGAGGTTTGAGCCAGGTTAATTCTAGAGGTCGTCCCAGACATTTCCGGACGCCAAGTGGTATCTTACACTTACATCCTTTTTGTTTTTGTTTTTTTGAGACAACAGTTTCTGTTGCCCAAGCTGGAGCGCAGTGGCGCGATCTAGGCTCATTGTAACCTCCGCCTCCCGGGTTCAAGTGATTTTCGTGCCACAGCCTCCTGAGTGGCTGGAATTACAGGAGTGCACCGCACCCGGCTACTTTTTTTTCCCACCCCTTCTTCTTTTGAGACGGAGTCTCTCTCTGTCGCCAGGCTGGAGTGCAATGGCGCGATCTCGTCTCAACGCAACCTCCACCTCGCCTCGGGTTCAAGCGATTCTCCTGCCTCAGCGTCCCAAGTAGCTGGGATTACAGGCATGCGCCACCACGCCTGGGTAATTTTTTGTATTTTTAGTAGAGACGGGGTTTCACCATGTTGGCCAGGATGGTCTCGAACTCCTGACCTCAGGCAATCCGCCCACCTCGGCCTCCAAAGTGCTGGGATTACAGACGTGAACCACTGCGCCCGGCCTGAAGATGTAAAATCTACCACGGAAGGATGATCTAAGTGGGGAAGGAAATGACAGGTGACGGCCTCCTACGTAGAAGCAGGAAGGAGCTGAGCTGATCGTAGCAGCCGAGGGCGTCTCTCGGGACCCACCCTGCTTCCCGCAGCCTCGGGGGTCCCCGTCACACCCCTCGGAACCTTCAGTGCACCAGACAGGGGGAGCTTGGAAGAAGCAGACCAAGGATCGCCCCTCCCGCCCCGCCCCCGCTCCAGCGGTCCTCTCCCAGGGCGGCCTCCCGCGTGCCCCAGACCGCGCAGTCCCACGGACCAGGTAGTGAGCGTCTCTGCACCGAAAATGTGCACATCCACAGTGCGGTCACTAACAGGCATTACTCCTGGGTCTCTCGTGCGTCTATTTAGGATGTGAGGGAAACCAGCCACTGTGGTGGCAAAGCCTGTTCAGCCTGGGTGCACAGAAGGAAACCTCGGAAGTCATTTCCATTAGCTCCCCTTCCCCCAAACTGATCCGCTTCTGTCAATCCGTCCCTGGAAATAATGTCGAGGCCTGGGACGAGGGGGCGGTGTTTTAAAAATTCTGAATTGGAAAACCCCTGAGAATACTGAGGGACAGACAGCCCCACTCACCTGTCAGCGCTGGGGCAGTGCGCGAAACCGCCTGAGAAAAAACAGCTGGTGCGCAGACGCACACCGTCCTACATCAGCTTGCCCGCCCCGCCCCGCCCCCTTCCACGCCCCCGCACGCCAGTAGCCCCACCCGTCTCCCCGGCCCCGCCCCGCCGCTCGCCCGGTCCGGTTCCTCCCCCGCCCCTTGATCCTCCGCGTTTTCCTAGCAGGCCAGGCTGCCCTTAGCCTGAATTACGCCCTCCCGGCCTAGGGTGTCGCTGTACCGGCTTCCGAGCTCCACACAGACAAATCCAGCGCTCAGGCAGGGGTAGGAGGCGGAGCGAGGCGGCGGGGGGCAGTGTCGCCGCGGACTAGGGACGGCGGTGTCGGTGGTCCCTGCGCTATGGCCGCCTCGGTGTTTTGCTGCCTGCCGTGCTGCAGAGACGGCGGGACCGGCCACATCCCTCTGAAGGAGATGCCGGCTGTGCAGCTAGACACGCAGCACATGGGTAAGGGCCCTCCTTTCCCCAGACTCAACGTCTCCGGGGGGCCGGGCGCGGCGGGCAGGGAGACCTGCAGGGTCAGAAGGTCCTCATGCTGCCCCGCCGCTCCGGCCGCGCTGCCCCGACACCATTTCGTCTTGCAGATCTCTCCAGACGCCGGCGGACTCCCACCTGGGCCTGGTTCTGTGTTCAAGGCTGCGCAGCCCTCTCTGTCATCGCGAGTGGGCGTGTGGACCTCCCATTTTCACGGGAATCTCCGAGGGCTTCCTCTAGAGATGTCCCACGTTCCCAGGCGAGGGGACGGAGAGTGCCCTCCTGGCGCGCCCCAATCAAAACCTACACATTTTCAGTATGCTTCGGTCTGCTCCTCCTTCTGCCCTGTCGGTCTTGTTTCTTGAGCCCTGTCATTTATAGATAGAAGCCTATATTATTGAAAGAAATTTTTCTCTCATCTCCTAAAGTCAAAACAGAGCAGATTGCAGAAGTCTGAAGTCGCACCTCAGGTCAGAACTTGTCATTTCAACTAAAATCTCCCATTGCCCGACTCCTTAGTCATTGTTAGAGGTGTCATTTCATCTGGCCTCTTTCCAACAGGTAGGCTGTTGCAAAATAAAATAGCACTTTGCTTCTTTGCATCTTGCCTTTTCCTTTCAATTCCAAGTTCATATAATTTAACATTCTTCCTTTCCCGTCCCAGCCCTTTCACCTCCTTATTATTTCTGTTTAGACTTTTCCCATGTAGTTTCATGCTTCTGGAATGTAGTTCTAGAAGGAGAGATTTCCCAATATAATTATTTCAGTTAGAGTACTGTCTTTTTGTGGTTTATTTTATTCTAACTATACTTCTGCACTTTTGATTTTTCACACATCTCTGATTGTTTAAAGGACAGCACATTGAAATAAAAAGGCAGTTCTTAATATTTATGTAATTTATAATAAAGCCCTCTCTTGCCCAAATTCCTTATAATTTTGGAAATACTCTGCCCACTGTATTTTTGTATAACACATACTAAATGTGATAATTATATAATTACCTAGTACATGTGTATTTAATTTTAATTCTTAGATCTCCCAAAGGTAGTACAGAACCTTAATACATAATCTTTAATTAATTTATTTATTTATTCTGAGACAGAGTCTTGCTCTGTCACCCAGGCTAGAGTGCAGTGGCACAATCTCCGCTCACTGCAACCTCTGCCTTCCAGATTCAAATGATTTTCCTACCTCAGCCTCCCGAGTAGCTGGGATTACAGGCACTTGCCACTGTGCCTGGCTAATTTTTGTATTTTTAGTAGAGATGGGGTTTCACCATGTTGGTCAGGCTGGTCTTGAACTCCTCACCTCATGATCCACCAGTTTCAGCCTCCCAAAGTGCTGGGATTACAGGGATGAGCCACTGTACCCGGCCTAAATTATTTCATACCCATCATCATTTATAGACAATGGAGTTCAAATCCTAGTTTTCCTCAGAAAATGTTTCCATTTCACTTATTTACTGAAGTAATATTTATTAAGCAACTATCAGGTGGCAGGCATTGTTAAAAGTGCTGAGAATGTAGTGAAGGAAAACCACTACTTAGTTCCTGGGACTCATGATCAACTGCAGCACTTCTTCCTATCTCTGCTGTTAGACTCTTTAGTTACTGCAATCTGCTCTTTAGAGCATTCCTTTTCTCTGGCATCTGTTTTCTCTAGGAAAAGCTGGTCAGATATACTCATTCCACTATGTGTTATTTCTCTAAAGCTGTCCAGCAACTTTCAGCTACTAATTGGATGAAATAGAGTAATGTCATCTCCAAATTTTCTAACTGCAGTAGAAGTTTTTTCTTAACCTGTCTTTCTGTAAACTTAAATTCTTCAATCATAGAGGAGCCTGATTTGAAACTTGAATGAAATGAGAGAAAAGAGTTGTTGAGTTAGAAGAGCATGTTTCAAGCATGAATTGATCTTGACTTGAAAATAGAAACACATGGACTTGGTTATGTGAAAGATTATTAAATAATCTAAGGAATATGATTTTTTAACAAAATTGTCTGTATACTTCATATCCAAGTGATATCTCTATCAGGGTTGTCACTTATTTTGGTGATAATGTATTACTTAAAACGACTTTGGAATTCCTCTTTTGGAATTTTCTATGGCATAGTTTTGGTAAGTATGATCATTGATGCTGTATCTTTTGCTTTTAATTGTGAATTGACTTTTTAGAGACAAATGACTTCCAAGGTAGCCACTTTGAAAGGGATACCGCTTATTTGGAAATTTATGTTTCTTAAAAGATCCCTGATGGCTATGCTTATCAGTCTTCTGGCTGTACTCAAATTTGCCTTGACTTTCTAAGCAGTACCAATCATTAATAAAATTACAGATTCAAATACAGAACATCTTTGTACTTAATAAAGAGAAATGGGATAAGCTTAAAATGATTCCCTAATGATTTATAAACACCCTGAATTTTTTGTTTTTTTTGAGAGGGAGTCTTGCTCTGTTGCCCAGGCCGGAGTGCAATGGCCCGATCTTAGCTCACTATAACCTCCGCCTCCCAGGTTCAAGCAATTCTCCTGGCTCAGCCTCCCCAGTAACTGAGATTACAGGCACATGCCACCATACCTGGCTAATTTTTGTATTTTTAGTAGAGATGGGGTTTTACTATGTTGGCCAGACTGGTCTTAAACTCCTGACCTCAAGTAACCCACCTGCCTCGGCCTCCCAAAGTGCTGGGATTACAGGTGTGAGCCACCGTGCCCAGCCAAGAGAGTGTTTTTATCCCATTGTGCTCCGCAAAAGTCCTGAGACTCTGATTGCAGTAGATTAGGTCAGGTTAATGTGGCCAAGAAATGTGGAGGACACTGACTGCCTTAACCTAGGACCAATGTTTTATACCTGAAGCTAGAGATTGAGACAGCTTTCTTGGAATGGTTTGGACCTCCAGAGGAAAGTGTGTCAGGAAAGGGAGAAGAGTGCTACATGTCCACTACACAGTGTCTAGCACAGCATATTCATTCATTCTTTGTCAGTTATTTCATGAGCAGCTGCTTGATGCCAAACACTGCATGGTCTTTGCCATCAAGGAGGATGCTCTCCAGTTGAAACTACTGAAGGTTTATGGAGTAGCCAGATGCAAATTATTTGTAAAGGTACTTTCCCAGAATTTGAGGGTTAACTTTTTTAATTAGAAAAAAAAAAGATGCTAATGAATTTTTAGTAATCATACAATGGGATCTCAGTTTTGCCTTGTTTAAGGGAGAGCATCTCTTAAATCAGCCAGTTTAGAATTGTGTTAGAATCTGAAAATTTTGCATTTCTCTTACGTGTTTGTCCCAAATAATTTTGTTTAACTGTGAATTCAAACTTTTGTTACTGTGCCTTAGTTTTATTTTACCCTTTCTGGAAGAGTCCCATAGAGTTCTAATATTCAGATCTGCTTGGCTGGTATAGTTACTGCCAGCAAAGTGGTATTATTAGCCACAAGTATTGGGAGTTATATGCATTGGTGCATGGGCTATTTCTTACATATTAGAATTATGTAATTCTGTATATTCTTATATATTAGAGTTATATATATTCTCTGATATACATGTCTTCCTTAATCAAATTGGTACTAGGATCATATCAGGAGACAATGTCTTTCTTTCTCACTCTTGTCTATAGATGTTGTTTAAGCTAAAATAAAAATTTTCCACGAGAATAAAGTGCATATTAAAACCTTATTCACATATTTGCAATGTGATTGAAGTAGCTATCTTAATAAACATTTTAAGATCCTAAAGTTAGCAGTTTTTCAGTGTCAGGTATTTTAACATAGATGTGTGTTCTTTTTCATATTCCCTGTACTTTTCAGTTCGCACATGACTAATGCACAAGTGTAGCCACTTGTATTTAGTCTGTATTCAGCTGGCTTTTAGTAAATTGTTTTAATTCATTTGAATAGAATTGAAAACCACCAATTTACTAAAGTCTATTGTGTTTATGTTTTCCTTTAAATTAAGAAATTTATGAAATCATCAAATTGGCTCCTTGGCTAAAAATTAAAGGAGTTTGTCTATTCCTACCTTAAAAGTGTTTTAAACATTCAATATAATTCAGAGTTATTACAGTTTACTTGAAACTGCTTAATTAAAACTTAGTAATCTCACCTAGGCTGGAGTGAGTGGTGCAATCTTGGTTCACTGCAGCCTCTGCCTCCCAGGTGCAAGTGACTTCCCACCTCAGCCTCCCAAGTAGCTGGGACTATAGGCTCATACCACCACACCGGCTAATTTTTCTATTTTTTTGTAGAGGTGGGTTTTGCAGTGTTGCCCAGTGTGGTCTCGAATTCCTGCACTCAAGCAGTCTGCCCACCTCCACCTCTCAGAGTGCTGGGATTACAGACATGAACCACTGTACCTGGCCCACTTAATTAAAACTTATAGATACAAATGAATATTACTTATAAATGTTATCTTAGAAAAAATAGTGAATTAAGTATTTAAGATTATTTATCTATATTTCAAAGTATTTATAGCGTCCCTATTTTTGGGGGGCTGGGTTAGAACTGAACAAATTAATTCTGATTGTTGGATATGAAAATACAAAACTTGGCCGGGCATGGTGTCTCATGCCTGTAATCCCATTCCACTTTGGGAGGCTGAGGCGGATGGATCACAAGGTCAGGAGTTCAAGACCAGCCTGATCAATATGGTGAAACCCCGTCTCTACTAAAAATACAAAAATTAACTGGGCGTGATGGTGCGTGCCTATAATATCAGCTACTCGGGAGGCTGAGGCAGGAGAATCGCTTGAACCCAGGAGGTAGAGATTGCAGTGAACTGAGATCGATCGCACCACTGTACGCCAATGTAGCAACAGAATAAGACAGTGTCTCAAAAACAAAACAAAAATGGCCAGGCGCGGTGGCTCACGCCTGTAATCCCAGCACTTTGGGAGGCTGAGGTGGGCGGATCACAAGGTCAAGATCAAGACCATCCTGGTCAACATAGTGAAACCCTGTCTCTACTAAAATACAAAAATTAGCTGGGCATGGTGGCACGTGCCTGTAGTCCTAGCTACTCAGGAGGCTGGGCCAAGAGAATTGCTTGAACCTAGGAGGTGGGGGTTGCAGTGAGCTGAGATCATGCCACCGCACTCCAGCCTGGCATCTGGAGACAGAACAAGACTGTCTCAAATAATAATAATAATAATACAAAAATTAGCCAGACATGGTGGTGCGTGCCTGTAGTCCCAGCTACTTGGTAAGCTGAGGCAGGAGAATCACTTGAACCTGGGAGGCAGAGGTTGCAGTGAGCTGAGATGAGGCCACTGCACTCCAGCTTGGGCAACAGAGTGAGACTCCTCAAGAAAAAAAAAAAGAAAGAAAGAAAAAAAAGAAAATACAAAACTTTACATAGTGTCTGCATTTTTTGTTTAGGAACAGATGTTGTCATTGTAAAGAATGGAAGAAGAATATGTGGAACAGGAGGTTGTTTAGCCAGCGCACCTTTACATCAAAACAAAAGCTATTTTGAATTCAAAATCCAGTCCACAGGTTGGTATAATAGTACATTACTATTAAAAGTCCTAATTGTTCTAAATATTAAGAGTGATTTGTAACATATTAAAAAGGATTCAGAAGATAATATGAAAGCATCAAACTCTTAGAAGATCTGGGTCTTCCACCCGTAATTGTGTGATCCCCGGTGAATTAGTTAATTTAGTTAAATTAGGTTCAGTTTTCTCATTTTTAAAATGGGTATTACAGGAGCTGCCCTTTCTGCCTCACAGGAACTTTATGTATGAAGGTGTTTTAAGACAAGACATGCTGGATAAATGTAAGGCACTAGCATTTTTAATGGGATCCAGATGTACCCTCTTGTTTGGTTAAGCATGTAAGGTCAAACATATAAGCAGCATATACTCTTGCTATTTATTTTAGGATTAAAGTCAACTTTTTGATTCTGAGTTTTTCTCTTAGTTATTAAGATACCTTGATTCAGTGTTCTGAAGCAGTCATCAAATTCAGAATTCAGATAGAAGTCTACAATCTATATTTCTCTTTTTATAATTTATGGAGTTTATTGAATTATAAGGCAATTCTATGTGATTATAATAGTTTAGTTAACTGTGACAGTATTGTATATGGGGACACTTTTTAAGTAAAAGCTTTATTGTAAAGTGGCCAGGCATGGTGGCTCACACCTATAATCCCAGCACTTTGGGAGACTGAGGTAGGCAGACCACCTGAGGTCAGGAGTTTGAGACCAGCCTGGCCAACATGGCGAAACCCTGTCTCTACTAAAAATACAAAAATTATCCAGGCGTGGTAGTGTAGTCCTAGTTACTTGGGAGGCTGAGGCAGGAGAATTGCTTGGAAGCAGGAAGTGCAGGCTGCAATGAGCTGAGATTGTGCCATTACACTCCAGCCTGGGCAACAGACCGAGACTCCATCTCAAAAAAAAAGCAGCCAGGCACAGTGACTCACATCTGTAATTGCAACACTTTGGGAGGCTGAGGCTGTGGATCACGAGGTCAGGAGTTTGAAACCAGCCTGGCTAACATACTGAAACCCATCTCTACTAAAAATACAAAAAATTAGCTAGGTGTGATGACTGGCACCTGTAATCCCAGCTACTTGGGAGGCTGAGGCAGGAGAATTGTTTGAACCTGGGAGGTGGAGTTTGCAGTGAGCCGAGATCTCACCACTGCACTCCAGCAGGGGCAACAGTGCAAGACTCCACCTAAAAAAAAAAAAGGCTTTATTGTAAAGAAACTTCTAGTGAAGTACTGTGTGAGTAATATGGGCAGAGAATAGGAAAATAAGAGTAGAGTAAATCATGCTGTCACTTGACTAGCCTTGAATGATATGACATTTCCCCCTAGGGCTCATTTTCTAAATTAGTTTCACTTATTTATTTATTTATAGATGAGGTCTTGCTCTGTCACCCAGGCTGGAGTGCAGTGGCATGATTATAGCTCACTGCATTCTAGACTCAAGCAGTACTCCTGCCTCAAGTTCCCCAGTAGCTGAGACTACAGGTTCAAGTCACTGTGCCTAGCTGTAAATTAGTTTTAAATAATGATTTTCAATGGGGCATGGTGGCTTACACCCATAATCCTAGCACTTTGGGAGGTTGAAGCAGGAGGATTGCTCAAGACCAGGAGTTTAAGACCTGGGCAACATAGCACAACCCCATCTCTACAAAGAAAAAAATTACTTGGGTGTGGTGGTTCAAGATACTGGGTAAGAAAATGATTTTCCACCTTATTGTTAATGTCTCCTCTCCATGATATTGCTTATGGCATATATTGTTTGTCACTCATTGTAGATATAAAAACTGAAGACAGTATATTCTCACTTTTCAGAGGGAGAGCTTAAAACTGAACTCCAGACTATTTAAATTCAGTGTGTAGCTTTTAAAAATTCTTTTTGAGAGAATAATAATGATGATAATAATAGCTAACATTTTCTGAATATTTACTGTGTGCTTTACTTACTCATGTTTTGGAGTACTTAAACTGTTCCAAGTGCTTTACTTGGATTATCTTGTATCTTTTCATAATCTTGTGAGATGAGTGCTGTTAGAATCCTCAGTTCACAAATAAGGGAACAAAGAGAGGTAATTTGCCCAAGATGATATAGCAAAGTCAAGATTTAATCCTCATTTGCTCAATTCCAGGGCCCACTCTCTTATCTCCTAGGCTGTACTACATCTGTGGAGAACATAGTATAGTTTGAAAACTACTTTTTTATTTTATTTTATTTTATTTACTGAGATGGGGGCTGGCTCTGTTGCTCAGGCTGGAGTACAGTGGAATGATCATGGATCACTGCAGCCTTGACCTCCCGGGCTCAAACAGTCCTCCCACCTCAGCCTCCTGAGCAGCTGGGATTACAGGCACATGCCCTCATACCCAGCTAATTTTTGTATTTTTGTGGAGACAGGGTTTTGGCATGTTGCCCAGGCTGATGCAAAGTAGTTTTAAAAGAAGATTTTTAAAAAAAAAAAGTAATAGAGGCCGGGCGCGGCACGCCTGTAATCCCAGCACTTTGGGAGGCCGAGGCGGGTGGATCACGAGGTCAAGAGATCGAGACCATCCTGGTCAACATGGTGAAACCCTGTCTCTACTAAAAATACCAAAAACTTAGCTGGGCATGGTGGCACGTGCCTGTAATCCCAGCTACTCGGAAGGCTGAGGCAGGAGAATTGCCTGATCCCAGGAGGCGGAGGTTGCGGTGAGCCGAGATCGCGCCATTGCACTTCAGCCTGGGTAACAAGAGCGAAATTCCGTCTAAAAAAAAAAAAAAAAAAAAAAGTAATAGAAAACAATGTAGTGATAATACAGCACTTCCTTTAAAAAGTATATACTCCCTTTTAAAATAACCCTGTTTATGGTTGTAGTCTTCAGATTTTGAGGGCATTTAAACTATTATATTTTTAGGAATCTGGGGTATCGGTGTTGCCACTCAGAAGGTTAACTTGAATCAGATTCCTCTCGGCCGAGATGTGCACAGTCTGGTGATGAGAAATGATGGAGCCCTGTACCACAACAACGAAGAGAAAAATAGGCTGCCAGCAAACAGTCTTCCACAGGAGGGAGATGTGGTGGTGAGTTCCCTCGTGGAGCTGCTTTCCACTGTAAATGACTTAACTTGAACTGCTTTTTTTAGTATCTACCGCTTTGCCTGGGAGTTTGTGGTTTGAATTCCAAAGCAATGGGACTGGATCTAATGAGATGGTGCATTTTTCCGGAGAGGACTTGCAGATGCTGCTGCCCTACTCAACGGCCGTCTCCTTTTTAGAGCTGCCACTGGCCAGGAAAATCAGTGTGAACCCTTATTTCCACTCTGGAGAATTAGTGACAGGCTGGCTGCTGACCATACATTTCCTGTTTCTCTCACATTGGAGAAACCTTGGTCCACAATTCTTAAAAGTTTGCTGAAGCTCATATTAGAAAATACTAGGTTTATTGGAGGTGTTTGTTAGGGAAAATGTTCAACTTCCTTCCTTCTTTCCTTCCCTTTCCCACCTTCCTCCTTCCCTTCCTTCCTCTTTTTTTTTCCTTTTCTGAGATAGAGTATCACTCTTTCACATAGGCTATGGTGCAGTGGCATGATCTTGGCTTACTGCAATCCCCGCCTCCTGGGTTCAAGCTATTCTCCTGCCTCAGCCTCCCAAGTAGCTAGGATTACAGACACACACCACCATGGTTGGCTGATTTTTTTGTACTTTTAGTAGAGACAGGGTTTAGCCATGTTGGCCAGGCTGGTCTTGAACTCCTGACCTCAAGTGATCCACCTGCCTCAGCCTCCCAAAGTGAGCCACTGCACGCAGCCACACATTTATTTCTTCATTTGTTATGAAATTCTGTTAGAGAATTACAGCATTTTATCAGAAATGTTCATCTTCATTAAACTTAACCTAATTAAACTCTTTAGAGAATAGAACTCAAAATCCTAAAGCTTGATAGTAGAAAAGTTTTTCTTAGACAGCAGAGGATAGTGAAAGTTACATGTTATTAAAACTTTTCTGTTTTTACTCCTATCTGGCTCTATTTAACTCTTTACCAAAACTAGCACGTTGAAAATATAGTCCAAAGATTTCTTTCTGTCTTTTCCAGATACTTCCTCCCACACTCTATTATCCAAAACTCCTCCCTATCTACTGAGGTCAGGCTATTATTAAGAACAGAGTCCTAGAGTCTCCTTGAGCCAAGGTGCCCTTGTACACCGAAACTTGGCTTCTCAATTCTGATATGAAGTTGAGAAGAATCCATGAATAGTGAAAGAAAGTTTCTAAAAAGATGATATAGACAAGAGAAATCCACGTTAATTTTGAAAAGGTACAGTATTTTAGAAAGAATGAAGAAAGATGTGGAAATTGACGTTTTTGATTATGACCTGATCTTTCTTCTCTTTTCTGCAATTTCTAAAATATGAACAACAGTAAGTTTTTAATTGTTGGAAGTTTTTTTTCCTGAATTGACTGAAGAAAATAAGGATATGAAAGGTGTAAGCCATTAAAAAAATCTGCTTTTCCCCATTCTTTTTGAATAGTTGGTTCTGTATTTGTAGATCGTTGCCAGATGCCCCATAATATGGAACATCCTTATTCAAATGGTGATTTCTTGAAAGAGAATCTTGAAGTCAAGTTGATGCTGTCAACCTGTTTACCTTAAAAGATGAAATTCAAATATAAGAAAGGATTATCAGTAACAAATGCTTTTCTTTGTTGTTAAACTGAAACTTCTACCGGCCTTCCTATCTCATTTCATTTGTAGTGATGTCTAATAGCACGATATGACAGACTGAAGAATGCCACTTTTTGTCTATCAGTGTTGTTAAAATAAGACTTCGAGTTTTCACGCTCATTCTCATAAAAGGAGAACTAAAACCATGAAATACATGCAGTGCCAAGAAAAGAAAAACATTACCCTGTCATTTTAACTTCATCTTCCTAGTTCAAGAACTGGAGAACAAATGCTGCCAAATTGTTAACAGTGGCATGGAATAAAGAAAATGAATTATAAGAGAGGAAAATCATTCTTATGTGTTTAGAATGTAAGTCATGTACCATTCTCTGAGGAGAAATCAAGAAAAATAAGCTCTTAACATCTAACCGAATGATTATATGATTACACTCGTATGATAATCACCAGTGCAGCACAGTGTGCTACAGAACTAGGAAGACATACATGAAACAGTTTATGCTTACTTTCTCCTTAGACATATAGTTCTGAAAAGTACAAATTTCATTCTAAAATGCCTGTATATGTATCAGTTTAATTTTAGAGAAGTCTTATAAATATTCTATGTAATAATAACCATAGTGAATGCTTCTATGCATTTATTATGGGCACAGTTCTAAGTATCTGGCAAGGAATAAATTGTTTAATGCTTATAATGGCCCTTTGAAATAGGTATTATTATTTTTATTGTTTTTTTTTTAAGATGTTGTTTTGCTCATGTTGCCCAGGCTGGAGTGCATTGGTGCAGTCTTGGCTCACTGCAACCTGCACCTCCTGGGTTCAAGTGATTCTCCTGCTTCAGCCTCCCAAGTAGCTACGATTACAGGAACCTGCCACCACTCCTGGCTAATTTTTTTGTGTTTTTAGTAGTGACGGGGTATCACCATTTTCACCAGGCTGGTCTGGAACTCCTGACCTCAGGTGATCCTCCCACTTTAGCATCCCAAAGTGCTGGGATTACAATGTGAGCCACCGCACCTGGCTGGTGGTAGTAGTATTCTCACCATTTTACAGATTAAGAGAAGTTAAGTAATTTCTTATGTGAGTTAATTACAAGACTGTATAGCTCAGCTAGGCACTATGGCTTATGCCTACAACCCTAGCACTTTGAGAGGCCAAGTCAGAAGGATCCCTTGAGCTCTGGAGTTTGAGACCAGCCTAGGAAACATGGGGAGACCCATCTCTACAAACAAACAAATAAATAAAATTTAAAAAGAAAATTAGTCGAGCACAGTGGCATGCTCCTGTAGTCCCAGCTATTTGTAAAGCTGAGGTGGGAGAACCACATCAGCCCAGGAAATAAAGGTGAGCCATGATCCAGCCTGGGCCACAGAGCAAGACCTTGTCTCAAAAAACAAAACAAAACCAAACAACCAAAAACCAAAACAAGATCATAGCTGAACCAGTCTCATTTCAAAATGTGTTCACTAATCTGCACACAATTATTAATAGGCATAGAACAGATAGGATATTTTGCTATTATTTTGGCAGAGTCAAACCCAGTTTCCTCATCATAAAATAGATTAGGTTAGAAAAGACTTGAACTGGCTAGTCATGGCTGTAATCCCAGCACTTTGGAAGGCTGAGGTGGGTAGATCACAGTGAGCCAAGATCTTGCCACTGCACTCCAGCCCGGGCAACAGAGTGAGACCTAGTCTCAAAAAAAAAAAAAAGGAAAGAAAATACTTGAACTAAACTATGCTGGGGTGGGACTTCTCACATCCTTCCTCACCTCTTTGGTGCTGGGATTTTGTTACTGCAGGCTTAAATTTAAAACTTGCTTAAGGCCAGGCACAGTGGCTCATGCCTGTAATCCCAGCACTTTGGGAGGCCAAGGTGGGCAGATTATTTGAGGTTAGGAGTTCAAGACCAGCCTGGCCAACAAGGTGAAACAACATCTCTACTAAAAATACAAAAATTAGCCGGGCATGGTGGTGGGCACCTGTAATCCAGCTATTTGGGAGGCTGAGGCAGGCAGGAGAATCTCTTGAACCCAGGAGATAGAGGTTGCAGTGAGCTCAGATGGTGCCACTGCACTCCAGCCTGGTCGACAGAACAAGACTCTGTCAAGGAAGGAAGGAGGGAAGGAGGAAAGGAGGGAAAGAGGGAAGGAGGGAGGGAGGGAGGGAGGGAGGGAGGGAAGGAAGGAAGGAAGGAAGGAAGGAAGGAAGGAAGGAAGGAAGGAAGGAAGGAAGGAAGGAAGGAAAGAAAGAAAGAAAAAAAAACTTCCTTGTTTGCAATGGGCCACTGGGGGATGAAGGTGTCTGAATTACAACCTCACATAAGGTTTTGTTTTTTTAAATGAAAACAGACTTTTTCATTAGAAAAGTGAATCCCAGCCATCAGTTAGCTTTATTTTAGTTTGTCTAAAGACACAAACTAAAGTGAAACAAAGGCAATCTATGTACTATTTATCTTTCTCAAGATTCCTTATTATTATTTTTTTGCACTTTAGGTTTTGGGGTACATGTGCAGAACATGCAAGATAGTTGCATAGGTACACATGTGGCAGTGTGATTTGCTGCCTTCCTCCCCTTCACCCACATCTAGCATTTCTCCCCATGCTATCCCTCCCCAACTCCCCCACCCCCACTGTCCCTCCCCTATTCCCCCCAATAGACCCCAGTGTGTAGTGCTCCCTTCCCTGTGTCCATGTGTTCTCAATGTTCATCACCCGCCTATGAGTGAGAACATGCAGTATTTCATTTTCTGTTCTTGTGTCAGTTTGCTGAGAATGATGTTCTCCAGATTCATCCATGTCTCTACAAAGGACATGAACTCATCGTTTTTTATTGCTGCCTAATATTCCATGGTGTATATGTGCCACATTTTCCCAGTCCAGTTTATCATCGATGGGCATTTGGATTGGTTCCAGGTCTTTGCTATTGTAAACAGTGCTGCAATGAACATTTGTGTGCATGTGTCCTTATAGTAGAACAATTTATAGCGCTTTGGATATATACCCAGTAATGGGATTGCTGGGTCAAATGGAATTTCTATTTCTAGGTCCTTGAGGAATCGCCACCCTGTCTTCCACAATGGTTGAACTAATTTACACTCCCACCAACAGTGTAAAATTGTTCCTATTTCTCCACATCCTCTCCAGCATCTGCTGTCTACAGATTTTTTAACGATCGCCATTCTAACTGGCGTGAGATGGTATCTCAATGTAGTTTTGATTTGCATTTCTCTAATGACCAGTGATGATGAGCATTTTTTCATATGTTTGTTGGCCTCATGTATGTCTTCTTTTGTAAAGTGTCTGTTCATATCCTTTGCCCATTTTTGAATGGGCTCGGTTGTTTTTTTTCTTGTAAATCTGTTTTAGTTCTTTGTAAATTCTGGATATCAGCCCTTTGTC